GGGCTGGGCGTGTGTGTGGAGCGGGGGGACAGCCCCGCCCGGGCCCGCCAGGGGGCGCTGCCGCTGCGCCCACGGGGCCGCCTCACCTCGCCGCGCCCTGACTCTGGCCCCGGGGCGCTTCCACCCCTCGGACCGGCACCACCTCCACCGGCACCGGCATCAGCAGGTCCTCCTCGGAGTTAATCCCTTGGCTCATGTGGTGGAATGACTTTTACTGGATGCCAGGTGCCGACCAAGCTGCTTTATCACTTCCCTGGTTAGTGTCCTTGTTGGAATGAGCCCTGGACCTGATCACCACAGTCCCCTCTGCCTTCTTATTAAATCCTTTCTTAACTATCCCTCTGTGTATCTCCATTCCCTTTCCCATATGTGAGTGCTGCAAGGTCTGAGTGGCAGTCACTGGAGAGACTTGTGTGAAAGAGAGATCTGTGTGCCAGTAACTAGGCAAACAAACTATAATTATAGGAACTTTAGTCCTGGGTGTCAACAACTGGGGGGTGTAGGCAAGGTCTGGGTGCTAGTAACTGGAGAAGGAAGAATGTGTCACAAGTCTCACACCTCATGCTGTCAGCAACTGGAAGGACAACATTGCACATATATGTCTTGGAGTTCAAAGGACAAGTGTCTGAGGGACCTCAGTGTGTTTTGTCATTAGTGAATTGAACCCAATGTGCATTCCTTTGTGGAATTTGGTAGCATATTTCTAGATAGCCTAGATTGTTAGTGAGAAGAAAAGCTGTATCTAAAGTCTGAGTCAGAGGTGGCTATCAGAGACTAAGGTCAGCATACGACATTTAGACAGGCTGATATCACCAAGGTGTGGTAATGGTTGAGGGATCCAAGAGTGTGGGGGTGATTGTGAGATCAGTGGATGTTTGCAAACATGAGTTTGCTAGTGAAAATTGGGCAGGCCTAGCCAGAGAAGCAGGAGACCCAGGTGCTTGGTAAGAGGGCCCAGGCTCCAGGCAGGGCTATTAGATGGCCTGAGGGCTCATGCTGATATTGGAGGGATGCATGAATGTGGGTGTGCTTGTGAGTCCAGAGGGGTTGTATTTGTGTATTTTCACTAGGAAACTGCATGTCCCAAGCATACAGGAGAAAGTCAAGTGAGGGGCCACTTAGATTATGAATATGCTGGAGCATCTCCCATACGGTGATACTCTGAAAGAGCTGGGACTGTTCAGCACTGAGAAGACTCAGGGCAGATCTCATCAATGTCCTCAAATACCTGAAGAGAGTTTGTCAAGAAAGCGGAGCCAGGCTCTTCTCCACGGTGTCCAGGGACAGGACAAGAGGCATTTGGCACAAGCTGAAACAAGGAAGGCTCTGTCTGAACAGCAGGAAACCCTTTTCCACTGTCAGATTGAGAGAGTACTAACATAGGATGTCCAGAGAGGTTGTGGGGTCTCCATCCTTGGAGGTACTTATAATCCATCTGGACATGGTCCTTTGCAACCAGCTCTAGGTCACCCTTCCAGAGGTGGGGTTTGGATCCAATGTCCTCCAGAGGTCCCTTGCAAACTTACCAATTCTGTGTTTCTGTAACACAGGGTGCAAGGAGAGGCTGAGAGAAATGGCCTTTTTCAGCCTCCAAAATAGAAACTTCAGGCAGAGCTTTTTGATGCTTCTCACACTTGACTGGTGGAGTAAGGGCCAGATGGAGCCAAGCTCTTTTTGAACACAGTGGTAGAGTGAAAGGCAATGGACACAGCACAGGACAAGGGAAACTCTTACTAGAAATTTGGAATTGTGTTTTTTTTAATGATGAGGGAGAAACATGGGTGGGATAGGTCCCAGTAAGAATGTGACTCTGGCTCCACAGAGCATTGATTAAGATGCCATTATTTGTGAGTAACGGAAGAGATAAAAGCACATAGCATGGGTGATATTATGCCCCTTCAAATGTTGGGAACCCTGAATTGTGGAGCATGAGGTGGAGCTCTAACTGGCATTTCACACATAGTGCAAATCCTACCTGTTCTGAGGCTTGCTGGCATTTTCATCTTTTAAGTTTTAATCAGATTTTCTCAGAAATAAAAAACTCCTAGTTTCTACTGTCAGGTAAAAGGACATTTCTCCCAAAGCTTGGTGCTTCACTCCTAGATCGAGACAAAGATGTGTCCATGGCAACGTTGCCAAGTTTGCCAAGTGCTATGTACAGCCCAGCACAGCACAGGTCTGTGCCTACTCGTGACAGCTTAACTATAAAATAATAATGAACAGTTTGTTATCTCTGCCATGACTGGTGCATGGAATCACTTTGGAGTTAATGTGAAAAGGTCATGGGAGTAGGGCATGCCACCAGCAGCACCCACACCCCTTCCCATGCCCACCTCTCACAGTACAGCACTCCAATGGGTGCGCCTGTGTGTGTTCCCTGTGTGTGCATTGAGGTTGCCACTGATCCCTGCCAACCCCTCACCCTTTCCCCTACAGTAGGAGTAGGTTGTCCTTGTCATCTCTGGGTTTGTGGCATCTATACAGCAGCACTGGAGCCACATTATTTTCTTGCACTGTGTGCTATCCCACCAGAACAAGACACAGCCAGAACCTCTGGGCTGCTGGACAGCAGGGTTCATCTCCTGTACTGGGGCATTTGGGGAAGAGATGTGGTTCTGAGGAAGCTGAGGAAAGAAAGGGGAGAGAGAAATTGAAGATACTTCTGTCCCTAAAAGAAATAGCAATGTCCCCAGAGAGCTGAGGACCCCAGAGAAATATGCGATAGCTCACTGGGAAAGAAACCATTGACCTCCCAAATTGCCCAACATTGGGTGTGCAGAAGAGCAGGTGATTTTTGCTAGGGAGGTGAGGGCTCCACTGTGAGCCGATTGGGAGCAGCTGTTCCCTAGACTGGGGCCTCAGACTCCCACCAGCTTGTCACTTTGGAAATGTTGAGAATGCCTTTGGCTAAGGGAGCTGCAGGTGTTCCTGCTGGAGGAGGAAGAAACTCAGAAGGAGCATTTCAGGCACAGGAAGAACAGATAATTTGTCTGCCCTGCTTCTCCCTTTGCTACCACAGCAGAGTTGTTTCCGGTAACCTCTGTTATCTCGGGGCCAGGAGGTGGTTTTCTGACTCTCTCACTCAGCAAACAGGCAGATTGGTCTCAGCATGCACCGTGGATATCTCACCCTCACTGCCTTCCTGGGCCAACTGCTGGGTAAGTCCTCTGGTTTCATCAATGCATACTTCTTCTCCCCAGGAAACCTTCATCAGCCTTATCAGGATCATGCAGAGAATTACTTTTGAATAACAGAAAAACTTTGGGAAATGTAATTTCACATTTGTGGTTTTATATGCGTTCTCTTGAGGTGCTTTTACTGTTCAAAAGGAAAGAGAAGAGATAACTCAGACCTCTTCTGCTTTCCTGTCCTCTTCAATCCATCTCTCTCTGCCTCTCTTCTGATCCACCTGCAGTCACCGTAAGAGATCTCAACTGTCTCTGCACTCCCACATTGCTCCCTTTCCAATGTAAATAAGCAGACTTTGTCAAAGCTGCTAGGGGATTTTAGAGATTTCATCCCATTGACATTGTTAGGGTGTCCTATTTTGGCTCTGGCTGGCACATACCTGCTGTGGCTTGCAGTTTTCTCCTGGTTGTCAACACAGCCAGGACTTCCTTTTCTCAAGGTCAGCATTGTATACGCTCAGAGATCTAGAAAACTTCTGAAATGAGATGAGATTAATAGAGAAGCAGGATTAATCTTACCATAGCTTTATAGGCCCCTCAACCTGCTAGTCCCAGCACACAAAGGTCAGGCATGACAGACTGTTCCCTAGTCCTCAAGGCAGTACGAGCAGGGACTGTGCACAGCTCCTATCAGGGTCCATACTCTGCTGAGACCTTTGAGCTCCTGCCCAGAACTACTCTCCACTTGGCTGTCCCCAGGCTTCATGATATTCCTGCAGGGCAAGGGACAGAGAGCCTTCTCCACCAGGGGTTTGCATGCACTTCTGGTTTGTTTGTTTGTTTGTTTTCCTGGAGCCCTTTCCTGCAGAGATACTGACCTTCACTTTCTTACAGATACCATGGGGCAGATCACCGTCACCCAGCAAGAAGGACAAGTCACAGTGAAGCAGAGAGACACCTTCAAAACAACCTGCACATACCAAACCTCCAACTTTTATGGTTTATTCTGGTACCAGCAGAAGAAAGGCCAAGCCCCTCAGCTGCTCTCATATATGGCAAGAGCTCAATCCAAGCAGAGTGGCCGTCTCACCACGTTGCTGAACACCACAGAGAAATACAGCCTCCTGAAGCTGGAGGAAGTTGAGATCTCCGACAGTGCCTTATACCTTTGTGCTGTGCAAGACACCCTGGTGCAGGGAGCTTTCTTGGCTGTACAACAACACAGGGGAAGGAGGGGATGTGTTTGTGCAAGGCTGAGCATGGGGGAAGAGGCTCTTAGCTCTCCCCTGGCCTTCTTGCACTCTGTGACAGATCAGTTCTTTGGTCACAGATTACCACTGCTGAGCAGATACAATCTGAATTTCCCCTTCACTGCAAATGCTGAGCCTGGGCATGAGAAACAAGGCTATGCTCATAAAGCTTCCTCCCTCTCACAAGCTGGATTCTATGTAGTGTTTTGAGCTCCTCAGGCTTGAGGAAACACTGCTATCCATGATGTAATGTTTCCTGTCCATTCCAGACATCAATTTATGCACACAGGGTTTTCAATGTTCCCATAACACACTACATGAAGGTGCAGTTGTCTTACTGTCATTGATGTAAAGATGCACAGAAAAGTTAATCTTGACCACTGTTAAGAAAAGGAGGCACATCCATCCTCTCTGACAGCCACTGGGATTCTCTCGTCTTGAGACAGCAACACCTTAAAACTGGTTCTGTTGTCCAAAAAACCCCCAGGGTTCTTTTATCTACTATGCAATGAGCCAAAAAACACACAGAGCTGAGATACTTCTTTTATTGCATTTCTACACCGATATGAGTAGGTGCTAGGTGATAAGTCCACAAAGCTAGCACACCTTCCCTGAGTTACAGGAGTTCTTTTATACACCAGAAACTGCAAAACTACCTTATCTCTATGAGTAACAGTATCATTCACCTAAATGATTGGCTAACTAACTCTTCACTTCCGTTTAAAGTGGGAGCACTCCTGGTTTTGATTTTGCATGGTCAGAGGGTAGGGAGTTTTCATGAGTCCAGGGTCTTACTAGCAATAGGGTGAGTATTTTAGTATGCTAATAATTTAAGTTCCCAGTAAGTTCAAGTAGTCAGTTCTTTCTACTATCTGTTCTACTCCTTGTGGTTAACATCCAGGGCTAAAGGGATTAGTGGCTTGTATTCTTCCTTCAACTCCCTTTCTCCCAAGATAAGCTAATAAAACATTCTCCTCTATTGGTCATTTTGTTCTCTATTCTTTAACACAAAGGACGAGCTCAGTAAGTATTCCAAGCTGGTCTGCCTCTTTTTCACATCAGTTCTATTATGTTCTTTCCCTCTTCAACTTCAACCATGGCAGCTGATGTAAAGAGATGCTGTACCTTTTCCTTCTTCTATCTATTGGTATGACAGTAAATGGAAACAAACTCAACCAAAAACAACTCGAACCAGGCAGCTCCCAGCATGGGGCATACATAGGCCTTCATTCCCCTGTGCAGTTTCGGGAGACAGTCCCAACCTCAGCCTCATACCGGCAAGTGTCCCATCTACCTCATTGATAGAAACAAAGAATGCATGACAACCTCCCTCCTGGTCTTTGTGACCCCCCCCCCAGGGACACTTGGGGATCTGGAACCAACCTCCCAGCTTCTATACAAGAAGTAACACTGCAGCTGGGGTCTGTGAGTCTGCTACCAGCCCAGCTTCCTGCAAGCTGCAAATGCTAAGGTCTGCACACAGAAATGGGGCTGAACTGATGAAGTTGCTCCTAGGTTTATTTGCAGGCAAATGCATACTCTTCAAGAGAGAAAGAAAAGGAAAAAAACCTAAGGAAGAGGAGATTTTGTGTCAACTTATCAGGGTTTGTGTTCACATGTCTGTGTCGAAATAGTTGCCTCCCCTCTCTTTTTCCTCCCTTCTCTCTTGGGCTTTGCTTGTGAGGAGTTTGAAGATGTGCAGGCTCAGAGAGTAGATCAAGTTTCTGCTACCAAATCAACCCTTGGAGCAAGACTTTGGGCAGAAGCATTTCAGAAAGCAAAAGTCTTTACAGCAGCAGTTCAATAGGTCCTCTTATGCAGGGGGAAGACACTCTCCAATACCTCTGGGGCTAAAAGCAGTAATTTGGAAAGCATCTGGCCACTCCTGGGACACTCAGGCAGCAGCCCCAGACTCTCTTCCTGCTTCCCTTTCTCCTGCTTTCCTCTCCCCTCTGCACAGGACATTGTGCTAGCCTTCAAGGTCATCTTCTGCAGACCTGCCTCACAGCAGAGCTCCGTGCAGACTAGAGGGAAGATCTCTCCCCAAGAGGATACTGTGAGCCTCCCACTGGCCTGCTGCAGTCCTCAGGCTGCTCACTCAAGGACATCACTGATCAGGCTCCCCAGACACAGGGCATGTTCAAGAAGGAATTTCTAGGGAGAGACAAAGCAAGGCAGGACACAGGCTCTGGAGCAGCCTTCCTCACTTCTCAGGAACAGTACCTTTAAAGTGCCTGCAGAAATGTCACCCACACTCATCATATTCTGCAAACAGTGGGGAATCCCCTTTTGCCTTCACTCTAATCACCCTAGACTAACATCCAGACCATGCTGGATGTTAGTGGCCATGTATCTGTTGATGCTGGTGATGCTTCTTTTGATGCAGCCCAGGATATGGTCGGCTTTGTGGACTGCAAGCACACACTGACAGCTCATGTTCAGTTTTTTACCCACCAGTACCCCCAAGTAATTCTTGGCAGGGCTGTTGCCAGTTCCTTCATCCCCAGCTGGTATTGATACTGGTGGTTGCCCTGGGCCAGGTGCTGGACCTTGCATTTGGCTTTGCTGAACATCATGAGGTTCACATGGGCCCACTTCTCAAGCTTGTCCATGTCTCTCTGAATGGCATCCTGTCCCTCAGACATGTCAATCACACCACTCAGCTTGGTGCTATCATCAAATTTGCTGAGGGTGCACTCAATCCCACTGTCTCTGTCACTGATGAAGATATTAAACAGTATTGGACCCTTGAGAGACAGCACTCGCCACCCTCTGGATGCAACCA